GTCAAAAGTTCATTGATTTTTATGTAATTGGACAGTTCTGAGAACATTAGGGTGTTATTGTGTGTTTTATTACCGAACTCATGTATTTTATTCATTTTGAACGATTCGAACTATTCGAAATTCTTCGACCACATCGTTATTTGATATCCGTTGTTATCGCACTCCGCGAACCGGTTTCTGTGTTTGTCATCTGGAAATCCATCCGTGGGCCGTATGTTATTATAATATCGGTGAAAACATGCTACGCCCTCATTACTTCAAGTCCGATCCCGGTTGGGAATTTTCCGGGTTCCGGGGTGGCCGGATAGGCGGGGAAATTGGGAGTGTCCTCTACACCCCTTGACACCCTCTAATTATGTAAACAACGGCAAATTGCATCCCCCGGGCTGACCACATGCGTTCTCTCACAACGGTAATACATCCTGTATGAAACGATAAATAAACCCGGGATCATTTTTCCTCTTCCTCTATCGATCTTTCTTTAAACGTCTCACCGACGAACTAGAAAATTTTCAAAAAACAAAACCTACAAGTTAAAAATATTTTAAACAGTTTACAATACTGTTCTCTGTTGGACGACGTCAGGGTAGGGTTAAGCATATTAAAATTATGCTAATTGGTGCATTCGTCCCCCTCTTTGAAAATCGATACTTCCACATACCCCTATCTACACGCATTCCACTTCAAAATTATCGTCTAAATTATTCTCTCCACATTTGCCAGATGGGTTTTATGAGTTATGAAAACATTACGATAATTATTCAATTTACCTTTATTATCAATAACAACAAAATGACCGATACTGTTCTTTATTTTGTATCTCTCGTGATATAAACTATAATAAAGTAAAATGAAAGGGAAAATATTATAAATTATTTAAGACATACATACTTCAAAAAGCCTAAATTAAAAAAAATTCAGTTAATTAAGGTTTTTAATTGAGATAAAAAAAGTCAATGGCACGAGCGGGATTCGAACCCACGATCACAGATACACGACATTTGAAAAATGGCAAAAAGGAGGGAAAATTCAAAAGGTGGGGTTAAGGTGGGAAGTTAGTGTCCGAGTGGATCGAGGTCACGATAGCTCAAGTGGTAGAGCAGCGGCGTATCTAGCCGAAGATCGGGGTTCGAATCCCGCTCGTGCCATTGACTTTTTTTATCTCAATTAAAAACCTTAATTAATTGTAATATATTAATTGGTTAAGCGGACCACGAAATTAGTGAATTTAAAAAATTCAGTGTTTAAATCCAATTTTTTCAAAGAACGACATAGTATTTGTCTAGTTACCGACATACCAAAGAAAAAGAAGAGACATGAAGAAAAACGTTCTATATATCCAATCTAACTGTGCAATTCCTTGGTTCCATATAGAGAGCGCGTTGGAATGCCATCCGATATGAGAATTGTGCTTGAGCAGAGCAGATCTTGGTACCCTGTAGGATTCTTGGAGGGGAAGAATTAGTGTTAGAAGGCCGGTGGCGGAATTCTTGTACTACTTCTTGGCTTCATACTCAGTGGTATGCAGGCTAAGTGATTCTTTGAGGGTCGATAGGCTGGACAAGTAGAGTAGTTCTCACGTATCGGGAGCACGGTCGATAGGTGGCCTTCGGACCATCTGAACCGCAGAATAGCGATCATGCTCACCTGAATAAGAATAGGCCATGCAAGGCTGACACACGGACTTGGGGCCAAATATGTCTCCAGATGTATATAAAGGTTGGCCGATTTATTCCACCTAATTGGATGTGCGTTTCCTTGGCTCCGTATAGAGAGCGCGTAGGAATGCCATCCGATATGAGAATTGTGCTTGAGCAGGGCAGATCTTGGAGGGGAAGAAGTAGTGCTAGAAGGCCGATGGCGGAATTCTTGTGAGACTTCTTGGCTTCATACTCAGTGGTATGCCGGCTTAGTGATTCTTTGAGGGTCGATAGGCTGGGCCGGCAGAAAAGTTCTCACGTATCTCACGGTCGATAGGTGGCCTTCGGACCATCTGAACCGCAGAATAGCGATCATCGGTCACCTGAATAAGAATAGGCCATGTTAGGTTGACACACGAATTTTAGGCCAAATATGTCTCCGCAGTATAGAGAAAGATTGGTCATATGTCCCACCTGATTGAAGGTTGCAATTCCTTGGCTCAATAAAGTGAGCGTCCTCTGTTCCGTTTCTTGGAGGAAACCGGGTTGTTTTGTTCGATACATCTCTGATATATTTCTGTCCTAAGTGGGTGTTTAGAGTGAATGTATTTATTAGCGTGAGTGTAATGTGAAAGAAGTAACCCATTAACTCTGTAGATTGTGTAAGATGTTCGGGGTGTATAATATACCGCGCCTTTGAGAGCTATTGACGTTATGTGTCCTAGTTCATCAAGAAACTTAATTAATAGGCCCGGTTTAATTGGCTGAATTTTGCTATACATCGCAAAATATTTCCTGTTAGATTAGTTAATACCATGAGTGAAAGGATTTGGATTTTGGATATGCCCTGGTCACCTGAAGCTGTTGATAGCACATGGAACCAAAAGACCGAGGTGTTACCCCGGACTGCCATCATCCGGGGTTGATGATTTTCGATGCCTACCGGTAATTTATTGTAAATTAAACTTGTGGACCGCCAGGTTTACAGATTTGTGCTTAGTAGGTGAATAATCAATAAATTTAAACGGCCAAAAGCTAAAGAGTCAAATGATCGATACCGATCACTTTTCGGTGTCAATCTATTCTCCCCGGTAGCCCTAGCAACCATCTAGAATAGGCGGACTCAATAAAGTGATCAACGATTCAATATGAGTTTATCTACTCACAAATTATGCGACACTACCAACTAAGAAAAATAGTTTCATACAATATAATATCATATATGTGGAATATTTTTTCGGCCTGTTTTTGACGTTTTGTCACCTTGGTGAGTTAATTTTCTTCGGTGTACTTTATGACAAAAACAGCGAACATAGGCGGACCAGATCACTCTATTTGAAAAGGACTTGTTGAATATCGTCGGGTTTTCAAGAGGTCGTTTTGTTTGGAAAGAACTGTGAACAATTAGAGACATAAATCGGTTTTCCTTCAAAGACCGTCAGCTGAGAAGGCGTAGGAAAGTTATTTTCCGGTTCGATGCGGGGGCGTTTTTGCAAAAAAAAAGAAGAAGACTTTCTGCTAAAAAATCTATCATTTTTTATCTCCCTCACTTCGAACAACCTTTTTCTTCCTCGCGATCGATTAGGCCCATTATTCCTCCGAATCCCGCCCCTTTGTCGCCCAATAATAAAAGTACTACTTTCCGGGCAGTTTCAAATTGGTTTAAGGTTTTGTTAGGAATCGGTCGGGGGCGGAAAAAAAGGGAGAAAAGTTGAACCAAGGGGCGGGCGCGGGTTAACAGAATTTTTGGAACAAACTTTTACGCCATTGTTGGAAACTCTGTCTGACGGACCAGGACTGAATTTTTTATTTGATGTTTTCTCTCTTTCTCTTGTCCCCCCTTCCATCCTCAAAGCTCCTACTCTCTCAGAAAAGTAACATTCTTTTTCAACTTCGGGTACCTGACGTTTTATAAAGCCTCTCCCTCCGACGACCTTTTGGAGAAAAAAATTAATTTATTTAAGTAAACCCTCTGGTAATTAAAAAAAGTTTAAAAGCGATTGATAACTACCTCTTTACATCGAATCTTAATACACTTTTGAAAAATAAACCTCCAAATTGAACATCGATAAAGCCTTATTCATCTACAGAGAAAAACTGAAATTTATTTGAATAAAAATACATTTTTAAAAGTTTCTTAAACTTTTCTACTCACAAAAACTCTGGATCACTGTATGGCATTGATTAAAAAGCAAATTCAGTTGACAATGCCAAGCTTTCGACCTTTTTTAAGGTCATCATCAGGGCAAAATAATTTTAAATATGCCAATCTGTTCACATATTTAAGATTATTTTTCCCTGATGATGACCTTAAAATAGGTCGAAAGCTTAGAGATGGTAATGGTAATGAGGATACTAGGATGCGCGGTTTGTGCTCCTCAGGTACTGCAGCCTTCTGGCTTGTTGTACCTTCCTAGTTCCCTAGTTCAGTACAATAGACTTAAGTCTTAGAAGTATCAGGTCATTAACTGTCGCTGCTACAATTTCATTCCTAAATTTTTCCTGTATGCTAGGTTAAATCTACATTGAACCGTTGCTTCGGATTCGAAGGCATGGGTGGCTGTTTCCTCCTCCTCATTGCATAATCTGTAGATGGAATCATCTTTGTATATGCCCAGTTGTGTAGATGTTTTCTCAGATGTGACCGGTTAATAGTCCTATTGCACCTCTGAGTCTGGTCCTCTCCAACTGCAGCAGAGTTGGTCCAGTCTTGTTGAGGGTAGTAGATCATAGTTAGCACCGCTAGAATTTATCCACTCCTCCTTTTGTTTTGTTTGGATCCATTATGCGATAGAATATTCTATATTCGATGGACTTGCAGATCCTTCTCTGGCTTCTGCTTTATCGTTAACCAAAATTCCTCTGTGCCCTGGAATCCAACATATCCCAACATGGTGCTCATCATTCAAAGAGCAAATGGTCCCCGGGAAGAGGGTATGGTGACGTTTCAAATAGTTTCTGTAGCCATGTAAGGTTTTTATATTTCTACGTTCTACTAATGCTACTGAAATTAGGTGTATACCCGAATGAAAAGCAGGTGTATGGGGCACACTTTGGGGGTGGCCCGGATCCTAGGGGAGTTAAGGATTCTCTGTAACAAAATGATATTTACTGAATGCCTTAAGGCAAAGTAAACAAAAAGTATGTATATGAGACCTTTACCTTACAATGATCAGCGCGTCTATTTTTTTTTTCAAACCTGCGCCAGAGTTGGAACAGGCCTTTAGCACTCCTTCTTTTTCCAAAAAATCAGAAAAAATTAGTTTAATCTACTGGACACCCTATGGAAGTCGTACCAAAGATTAAGCTGATAAGAATTGATACTTTGATTTTGATAAACCTCATCAGAATACAATAAACGGCTGTAAAACTCCAAGAGAATCTGAGCGTGACAATTTTTTTTCAATCTGCGCCAGAGTCACAAGCCCCTAGCCCTCTGTCTTTAAAAAAAAATCAGTTTAATCTGTTTGACTCCCTATGGAAGTCTTACCAGAGATAAATCAGATAAGAACTGATATTTTGATTTTGATAAACCTCATCAAAATACAATAAACGGCTGAAATACTGCCAAGAAAATATGAGCGTGTCAATTTTTTTCAGCCTGCGACAGAGTTGGAACAAGCTCCTAGCATTTTTTTTCCAAAATTTCAGTTCAAGCTACCGGACGCCCTATGGAAGTCTTACCAGAGATTAACCTGATAAGAACTGATATTTTGATTTTGATAAACCTCATCAAAATACAATAAACGGCTGAAATACTGCCAAGAAAATATGAGCGTGTCAATTTTTTTTCAACCTGCGACAGAGTTGGAACAAGCCCCTAGCATTTTTTTTCTAAAATTTCAGTTCAAGCTACTGGACGCCCTATGGAAGTCTTACCAGAGATTAATCTGATAAGAACTGATATTTTGAATTTGACAAACCTCATCAGAAAACAATAAACGGCTGAAAAAACTCCAAAAGAACATGAACGCGTCAATTTTGTTTTCAACCTGCGTCAGAGTTGGAAGAAGCCCTAGCACACCTTCCTTTTCCAAAAAATCAGTTTTTATCTACTTGACTTCCCATAGAAGTCGTACCAGAGATTAATCTGATAAGAACTGATATTTTGATTTTGGTTAACCTCATCAGAATACAATAAACGGCTGAAAAACTCCAAGAGAATACACAAGAACATACATTTACAAAATTGTTCTATTTTAAGACCCATACCTAAGCATGTATTTTAAAATTGTATGAATATTTTGACATAGGATCTTTTTTTCTAACTTTTTCTAAAAGAATCCCATCCAATGCCGGATTAGCCGTACGTAATCTCCATTTTATCTCAATTATAATAATATCCGGTTTTTATTAATTCACGCAGCGGTTGTATGCATTACGCGTGGCCTGTTAAAATTAAAAAAGAGAAATTAAACATAAAGCTCAACCAGATGATTTTCTAGGTCACAATCGAAAATTGCTGGCTTTAAAAGCTCGCCCTGTCGAAATCATCAATCATCACTGTCAATCAAACAATTTCCGACGTACCTCAGTCAAAAATTACTCTCATTTGTCAAAATTTTTTGTCATATTTTTTATGTAAAGAAAAATCGAAAAACCATAAAATTTCTTGGTAATTTTTTTATGTGCTGATTGCCCATGTTTTACAGAATTTAGGGCCTCTGGGGAGAGAGAAAAAAATTAAAGAAAACACTTGGGACAGTTTCATTAAGGGCCGTACTGTCTTCACCTCAAACACCCGAGGTAAATTAATTTTTAAAAGGGCGCCTCTCCGGATTGACGGGCCCTGCGATAATTTATGATTACTTTTATTTTAGAGCGGGAACGACGTATTCAAAAAGCGGAAATCCTTTATTGGATTTCCAGAGACGGGGCGGGGGCTGGAGACGGTTTATTGCATTAGCATTCGCCTCCCCCGCACTTTTCCAAAGTCTTCTTTCCTCTCGGTTAAGTGGGCTGAGTGTCGCGCTCTTCTCCGGCTCAAATGAATTCAAAACTTATCCCATTTTTCATTATATCCCATTTTAACGCAAATTAAAAAATATTTTTGAACCCTTTCCCTTCCGGGACTGGGCCTTGATTAAGTGCTAATATCCCACCTTCATCCCCCGACGACGCCCAGTGGAGCAGACTGTTTTTTAAACGCTCTAATCCTCAGAGAGCCCCCGTATAGCATTTTTCTCATTTCTCCTTTGCCAATTACCAAAAGGATTAGACTGATAAATTATTTTGTTGATTAATTTCAGTTTGAAAAATTGATGTTCACAGTCTTTCCGACGTTTCGCAATCTATACTTCAAGATTCGCTGTGAAACGAGCCTCTACTCTAAGAAATTGTCAAAACTTTTTGGTTCACTCTGCCCAGGACTTAATTAACGGTTCAACGAACTAATCTTTTCCATACAAAATGTAAATTACAACTTCACTAGTTTCGTGGTCCGCTTGACCAATTAATATCTTACAATTAATTAAGGTTTTCAGTTGAGATAAAAAAGTCAATGGCACGAGCGGGATTCGAACCCACGATCTTCGGCTTGATACGCCGCTGCTCACCAATTGAGACACCAACCTCCCATCTCAATCACACCTTTTGCATTTTCCCTCCTTTTTACCATTTTTCAAATGTCGTGTAATCAATTTGATTCTCGGCGACAAATGAAATGGCCACGGAGAGCTTTAGTAAAGTATACTTCATTTGGAATGGATCGAGGTCACGATAGCTCAAGTGGAAGAGCAGCGGCGTATCAAGCCGAAGATCGTGGGTTCGAATCCCGCTCGTGCCATTGACTTTTTTATCTCAACTGAAAACCTTAATTAATTGTAAATTACAACGATTTTGTTCCGATTCTCCTAGGCCTCCTAAATCCGTAAAAACAATTGAGCAATTTATGACAGATTTGGTTTCTTTAGTACGAGTACTAGTTACCATGAATTTATTTTATTTTAATTCTTTCAAACACTTCTATTAAATAAGGGAAGTTTAAGGGCAGACAATCAGCCGAGGCTATCACCGGCTCTGTGCCTGTTTGTACTTCTTTTCTGGTCTTTCATATTTTTCAGCCTGTAACCATTTGCGCGACTCAACCTGCTAGAAAAGCTCATTTAGCTCTAAAATCTCCAAAAGCAATCAGATTAGATATTAACTAAACAATTCGAGCACATAACCATAATTTAGTAAAATAAGACAACCATTGTTAGAAATAGGGACTGACTAGGTGATCCCAGACTCTCTCTACATATTTTAAAACAAAATAGATTTTGTAATATGTTAGCCTCTTGTTTGTACCTCAGGTTGTCAACTATAGAATATATATTGTATAAACTATACAATACATATACTTATATACATCACCACCCGATATAGACAGAAGTGTGGTCATATTAATCTCCCTCAGAGTTTTCGAGATACCTCCGGTACTAATAACTTACTTTGACTTACCAGACGTCACATTCTTAACCCCAGAGAACTCGATATGTCTCGGGGAGGGGTTAAACAAGCCTTCTTTTAAGCCTATAGTTACTTTTTTCTCTCCAGAGGTCACACACCCACCCCAGAATAGTCGATCTTCCTCAGAGCGGCTTTAAGCAACTCCTTTCTTTCACGCTAATAAATTACATTCATTCCTATTTAAGATAAGTGCAACACCCGATACAAACATAGAAGTCCAGTCACATTCACATCCTCAAGAGTACTCGATATTTTTCGCAGGGTAGAACCCACTCCATTCTGTTTTCAGTGTTAGATGTATAGACCGTGAATACTCTGGCTCACGGTATGGTTGAAAAAGACAATTCAGTTATTCCTGACAAACTTTGGACTTATTTTAAGACCATCATCAGGCCTATATTAATTTCCCATATTTGTGTCACGTTTCGATTTGAATGTACCGCCATGCCCCTCCACACACATCTGACAGTGAAAGGAGTAGGGGCTAGGAAAAGACTATTTTTTTCAATAAAAAAAAAAAACAATTCCCTTTCTGTCCTCCGTGGGTTAAGAGCTGTTTTATTTGTAATTAAGAAAATTTGGTGTGCGCATAATTCAAGTGAGTAAATTTTATATTTTGACGTCAAAAAACTAAAAATAATAATTGTATTTTATTAAAAATTTATTATTTGTATTAAAAAATGGTTTTCACAAAAAATATATTTTTATAAAGAAAACTAAAAGAGATAGCATTTGATTTTAAAAGTTATGCTAAAATATTAATTGTATTTTCTAATTGGTGGTCAAAAATTAATAATAATAACAATAATAATAATTTTCTTTACTTTTACTTTTCTTTATAAAACGAGAATTAAATTCGATTTTAAAATTAATGTTTGTAGATTCTGAAATAGGTTTTATTATAGAATAAAAGATTCTTTAAATTAAAAATAATAATTAATAAAACAAATTGTAATTTTATTTAAAAATAAATTGTAATAAAAGATTTAAATTTAATTAATATTTTGGTCTCGTATTTATTTTGGTTTGAATTGAATATTGGAATTTCATACATCAAAAAAGGTGCCTGATCAATAAATTAATGTAGTCAGTCCGATCATAAATAAACCTCTGAGACCTTGTTTTCGGTTTTCCGAATTTAGGGTTGGGCCCAAAACAAAAGAGACACGCTTACATTTGTACATTTGATTCAACAATCAATATGACTATATAGAACTTACAAAATAATTAACATTTTTATGTAAGGTTTTGGCTGAAATGAAAAAGTGTCACGAGCCGGATTCGAACCCACGACCTTCGGCTCGATACGCCGCTGCTCTAACCACTTGAGGTGAGGAGTTGGTGTCCGAGTGGATCGAACTCACAATAGTCCTATCACCTAGGACCTAATAGACAGGTTGTTTATTCACAAGGTTTGAAAATTTTAGGTGAATTCTCCTATCATTTACCGATAAATGGCACCATTGAACATACCAATGTTAAGTGACTTGTATATCGTCCTAACCTTGAGTTTAGCCTGCTTTAATTGTAGCAGTGAATTTGTTACTCTTGATAGGGTGGTTTCAACATAACCTTGCTGTGACTAAAGTTTATCCACTTTTCCTTTTGTGTTCATTCTTTAATAGAGGATTGATTGAGGATTTGGTCAGTGACTGCTTCTTCGTTACCCAAAATTCCTTTATATCCTGGTAGCCAAGATATCATAAGTTCGTTGTTTACCGAGGTTTTGGAGATTTTGGATGCAATCACTGACTAGTTGTGATGTGTTTTTTATATGCTAATGCTTCAATGGTAAAAAGTAACTATTTCATTGACTGTCGTTGCTACAATTCCTATCTCTGGGTATGATTTGTACCCCAGGTATGATTTGTACCCCAGGTTATGCCACCATTGAGCAGTTGCTTCTTGCGAAGATGATACGTCTCATTGTTTCTTCCTCCTCATTGAATAAGTTGTTTGTTCTCTCAGATGCCAGTCAGCGGTATATAGTCCTATCACTCGTGTCAGTTTAGCCCTCGCTAGTGAGGGTTGTTTTACCATAAGTTTACTCTATCTAGCGATCACTTCTTCTTTTGTATTTTCGGATCCATTCAGTGATGTAGGATTGAGTGTTTGTTTTTGTCATCCTGAGATGGTCTTGCGACCTTCTTCTGGCCGGTATGATTTTTCGTTACCCAAAATATCATCAGGTTATTGAGTTTCTCCAGGTTTTGGAGATTTTGGATGCATTCACTTTTTTTGCCAGTGTAAGGAGTTTAATAGTCATCGAAAGATTTGTGGGAGAGCGTTCCAGTAAAATTGCCTATAATCCATTTATGTTTCAGTGGTCAACTGATCAAGTTACTTCTTTAAATTAATTATTCTTTTTGTGTAATTTGAAAATGGCAAAAAGAGGGAAAATTCGAACGGTTGTAGGTTGAAATATAGAGTCGGTGTCACGATCGAAGTCACGATTGCTCAAGTGGTAGACCAGCGGCGTATTTAGTCGAAGGTCGTTGGTTCGAATCCCGCTCGTGACTCGGAATTTTTTATTTCAACCTAGACCTTACGTAAAACATGATTTGATATGTTCATCTTTGTGACAAAACAACTAGGCAACTAATTTAAGGCTGTTTGTAGGTCTACTGTGCAAATTTAGTGCTATAAAGGTATTTTAAAGAATGTATACATTATAAATATTAAAGGCTCAGAAATTTCCAACAGTGGACTTAAAAAAAAAAAAAAAAAGGGAAGAACATGGCAACATCGGTCGTTTCAAGTGACCCAGTAGGAGTCAATCAATGTTCAAAAGACGAGGGGGCAAGCAGAAGGGGTGAGAAGGCCTGTTATTCATAAAGGAGGAATTCCAGATCAATGTACCGACCGGGGGAGGTTGAGATTTTTAATTTGGAAGTGCTCGTCCGAATCCCCTTTGTCTTCCCGGCCGCATCGGACGAGATGAACGCGGAAAAAAAGCCGAGAGAGAGAGAAAGCGAACGAGAATGCATTATCGATCTGTGTCAATGCATTTGTGAACCGGCCGAGATAGAAAAAAAAAACTGGGGAAAAAAGATAAAAACTGCGACGTAGTTTACTGACGCCTAAGCGCCCAGTTCCCAGGCCAGAGAGAGAAAAAAAATCCAACAGTCGGAATCTCTGTTAATAATGCGGATAAAAAAAATGCATATCTGAAGTGCATTATCTCTCTCTTGCAAAACTCTTGATAACTTTTAACTTCATAATTTGTTTTTTAATAATATAAATTTAACGTTATAAAATGCCTTTTGTTGCTGTACTCTTTGGAAAAAGGATTAGCGCATTTTAAGGAAGAGTTGGGCAAAGGGCTGATTGATTCCTGAGGAAGACGTACCCCTATCTGGGCAAGACGGATCCCATCCGCTTCTTACGTGTCTTTAACGATAAGAGTATATATATAGGACGTTCGTGTGCTCTTTCAGCCAGCTAAGAACGTTTTATAATATTTGTCTTGTTTCTGATTTAAGAATCAACCTAGTTTTATCAGGGTGAAAAGGGCAGTTGAATCGATCAATCAGTTCGGTCAGATTGATGATTGTACAGAAAGATTTGGTCATTTTAAAAAAGAAGCACCGTAAATATTGAACACTGACACGCAACCAAGTCACACTTGCCACAAATAGCTGGAAAAGCAATATTAAAATAGTTAAATTTCTGACGTTTGGATAAAAAAGAAAACGCCAAACTATAAAATCGCAAAAAGCTTGAAAGTACTTTTTTCTGCGCAATGCCATAGCTTACATAGTAGAAACTTTGCTTAAAACAAAGTATTTTTACCTTGAGATTTTGAAAATGCAAAAAATATTTGATGCTTAATGATCGGTGAGTAGGATAAGGTGGAAGTATGTTTAGCAGCAAGTCGCTTACCGGTGTGAAGCCTCGTATGCTGCTGGACGTGTGACAGCTGCTTGAATCGCCTTTCGCAGTAGGAACACTTGTACGGCTTCTCTCCAGTGTGGACTCTTATGTGCTGGACCAGCTGGTGGTTGGACGAGAAAGACTTGAGGCACTGCTGGCATTGGTGGGGTTTATTCACTTCCGGAGGCCGCTGCAACTCCCGGGCATGCATCTGCATCGCAGACTTCCGCATGAATATCTAGACGCCGGAGAATAAATTCGATTATTCAGGGTTATAAGATGGCCGCCTGGAAAAATTAGCGTCTTTGGGCTAGAAGGACGTCATGCGCCGAAAAGACAAAATTATAAAGAAAAAATATTAAAAACCATGCTTCATCTAAATTTCAGCAAATCGAGGATATGAAAGACGTGCACATATCTAAAAAACCAGACAGTAATATTTTCATATTTTAAAGAAACCTCTGAAACCTCAAAAATTAGATTATTAAAGAAATCTTGAATTATTTAAGACTTCGCGATTTATGCTTTTCAAACCATAGGGCACAAGATTCATAAGCTCTAATTAATTATATCAAACTTTAACAAATATTTGGCACCGATTCTTGACAAAATAAATAAAAAAACACAGAACAGGCCGAAAAACCAAATTGTGTTTATCATAAAAAAACAGACAATTTCAAACTATATTTGTATGTAGTAGTCATAACTGACCGTATTAACTATTAAAATTAATTATACTTTTAATCTAAGGTTTTGGTTGAGACGAAAAAGCTAGTGTCATGGGCGGGATTTGAACTAACGATGTTCGGCTCAATACGCCATGGTGGATCAAGTGGTTACAGCAGCGTCGTACTGAGCCGTGGGTTCGAATCCCTCTCATGACACTAGCTTTTCATCTCAACCCAGACCGCATATTAAAATTATAATTAATTTAATATTTTAAGTGTTAATCACACTATCTATAATTATTTCTATCAGCACATAAGAGGTAATTTTGAAAAAAAAAATTCTACTATCAAACATTATAAAAGAAAACTTACCATCACAAGTAGAAAAATTTTCGATGAGCTTCTATTCATTTGAAAAAAGATTTTCAGACTGTGTATCCCGATAATTAATGCAATAAAATACAGCATTATTTATAAATTAACTCATCTAAAGTTCTCTGTTTTCTATATTAAATTTTGCTTGTCTAAAACCAATGTCCTATGAAGAACTACCTATGTTAAATTGGTTAAAAGATAAAAGCATTGTTAGCATAAGTTATTAATTTTTTTTATGAAAAAAATTTTCTTTCATGACAATTCTTCCTCTACTTCATAGTTTTAATTTATCTTTTCACTTTCGAACCTTCCTCACTGAATTTTAAAAATTTATGGTTATCACCTTACACCAGGCCTAAAATATGATGTTTAATTACAGGCCTATTTCCCTTACTATGTGAAATTTTGGAAAAATGTTTTAAAAAAATTGTTGATTTTTTTATAATAACAAAATAACGGTCCCAAAAAATTTGTATGTCAATTATGTAAATCTCCAGCGTTTTTATCAAAAGCTCTTGATAATAAAATTAAAGTCATAGGGTTGTTCTTGGATATCTCAAAGACTTGTGTTTATACATACCGTGCAGTTTCGTTTTAAAAACTTTTAAAAATTCAAAGGATTATTTTGTAATTTCATTAAACCATATTTGTTAAATAGGACTGAAAAAACAAAAAAATATGTCAAACTTTTAGCTATCGCACTTATATTAATTGTAGGTATCCCACAGGGAAGTGTTTTAGGACCTGCACTATTTTTAATTTATATCAACCATTTTCTTAAATTAATACTTTCTGGTGAAATATTGTGATTCGCTGATGATATAGTTACACTTTTTTTTCTGGAAATAATTATGACGTAAGATTAAAAAAATATTAATTATGAAAAATGGTTAGATAGTAATTTCTTACTTTTAAATATATTTAAAAATATAACAATTAATATTTAAAAATCAATACGACTTAAATGATTGTAATTGTCAGATTATACAACTTTTCTAATCAACTTAAACATTTGATAATAATTTTATGATAATAAATTTTTTATATAGATTTAATATTGATGCTTTGGCAAAAAAATGAGAAAATTGTATTATAAATCTTTCAATTAATTAAGGTTTTTAGTTGAGATAAAAAAGCCAATGTCACGAGCGGGATTCGAACTCACGACCTTCGGGTTGAAGTGAGAAGTTGGTGTCCGAGTGGATCGAAATCAAGATAGCCTCAAGTGTAGAGGAGCGTATTTAACCGAAGGTCGGGGTTCGAATCCCGCTCGTGACACTGACTTTTTTATCTCAACCAATACCTTACACAAAGATTAATTAATTCAAAGATGTTATTTGGTCAATCGGACCACGAAATAACTTATTTCAATTAATTAATTTTTATGTAAGGTATTGGTTGAAAAATGGCAAAAAAAGATGGAAAATAAATAATTCGAAAGGTAGGTTGGGATGGGAAGTTGTCTGAGTAGATTGAAGTCCCGATAGCTTCAAGTGGTCAAGCAGCGTATTTAACCGAAGGCCGTGGGTTCGAATCCCGCTCACGACACTAACTTTTTCATTTCAACCCACACCTTACATAAAGATTAATTAACTAAAAGAAATTACCATTTAATTTTCTTTCTCAAAATAATGTATTCATACAGTAACCCTAACCATCCCTAACCATAAATTCATTTTTTCTTGTCCTAATGTTAAAGCCGCATGGTCTCTATGTACGTTTTTGATCAGAAAATTTCATTCACCTTGGAACAACATAAGTTGAGTGGCAATCTGGCTTAACGTATTTTAGAGAATTTTTTTCGAATTAAATTTTACACCGAGGGTCCCAGGGTTTTCTGCATATAACACGCTCAGGCTAGAAAAAATATTATATTAAATTTAATTAACACTTTAGATCGAGATATTTGTCAATCGTAAGCTGGCGCGGTCGTAAATTGATAGAATGATAAGATTAAACTAAAACCTTCATTGACTGTCATTCATATCGGTAGTAAACACACACATTAGTCTGGAATTCTCTTCTTTTTATGCCTTCCTGTATTTTGATATCCGAAATCGTAGACTATGGAAAATTTGTAAGCCAAACCTTAAACTCGGGCGTTTTTCAGGTCATCGGGATGTAAAAAATAACGGTGAAAACTTCCAATTACGATTGTGCAATTGCGCTTGGCGAAAGGCTCTGTGCAAGAAGAGGGCGTGCATGAGCGTTTTGATATTTTAATGTTATTCAACTGAAAGGGTGAGACGTTTGTAATGATCATTAGTTGGCAAGATATTAAAAAAAGTAGACGTCTAGCTTGTTTGTAGAAGAAACTCCATAAATTGCCAATGATTTAGTGTTGGGCTAGAGCGAGGAACCTTACGCTTTCAAAAGCCCAGCCCAAGATAATAAATGGCTTTAATGATCCGGGTATTATTGCATACAGGTAAATGTCAATTTGATTTACTCGGGGGCGCCGACCCGGCTTTTATTTCGACTTGGAACCCGGACAATAGTTTCCACCCCGCTTCCCACCGGTTCACGTGATCATCTCGAATTATGTTAATTCCGCCTGGGCCGGTTGTTTTTGTTTGTTAATGCGATATTGAGAGCAATTTGAGGGAAAATCTAGAAGAGAGATTCCCCGGTTTGATACGGACTGAAATTATTCAAATGCGAATCCCGCTTCGGCCACTCGGAAAAAGGAAGATCGATAATAATATCGATTATTTCAATTATGAATCACTTGCTCTTAAGAGTGGTTTTAATCTGCAATTTATACTTTTAAAAAAAGGCTTCAAATAATCAGCAATCACCGTTTATTAATTTGGATTTTTTTTTAAACCCAATGCATTTCCTTTTCGACGTGCTATGTCAACAAGAATCCTCTTCCACGAAAAAATGATAAATTAAACCGTAGCAATTTCATGTCAAGAAGTGCAAATATGAAATGCACAATATTTATTTAAACTTCAGAAGATCGGAAAAGTTTCAATCTTAAACCATAAAAACAACGGATAAGATTGTTACACGGTTTGTTGAAAGGGACTCTGAGACCCTCCAGAACATAGAATATACTAATCGAGCCAAATCTAACATAAGTTTAACATGACGTACTCATTTCTGTACAAAGTCGAGAGACCGCGAGTAGACAAGTGTCAAGACGATATACAGGGTGTCTCTCTGCTCAATGCACTACCTTCACCAGGAACAAAAAACTGTAGACAATAAACATAGCTAACAACCAAAACCGAAAAATTGGACAATATATCTACACCAAACACCGGCAATAAAAAAGAAAAACAATACAGAAGTTGTAAAAAACAGATTTAACCTAATAAAAAATCACAAAAAAGAGAAAAATTCAACGTAATTTGGTTGTTCACAATGTTTATTTGTCTCTTTTGTATATTTGTTTGTTTTCTATGTTGATTTTTTTCACTTTTTTGTGCTTTATTATTAGGTTGAATTTGGTTTTGTACAACTTCTGTATTATTTTTCTTTTTTTGGCTGTGTTTAGTGTAGATATTTTGTCCAATTTTTCTGCTTTGGTTGGTGACCACCAACAAAAAAAAGGAAAGTGAAAAAGCACAAAAAAGAGAAATGGTTATTTTTCTTTTTTGTATGTTTTGTTTGATATTTATGTTGATTTATTTACCTTACTTGTGCTTTTTTTGTTAGGTTAAAGTTGGGTTTTACAACTTCTGTATTGTTGTTCTTTGTTTTTGCTTGTGTTTAGTGTAGATATTTTGTCTATTTTTTCTGCTTTGGTTGGTGACCCCCCCCCCCCGAACATAGAACCGACTAATGGAGCCAAATCTAACACAATTTTAACATAATGTACACATTTCCGTACAAAGTCAATGCATCAACTTAACCAGGAAGAAAAACTGTAGACGATAAACAACCAAAGCAGAAAAATATGCCAATATATGTACACTAATCACAGGAAAAAAAATCGAAGGCAGAAGTTGTAAAACCCATCTTTAACCTTATAAAAAAGCACATAAAAGAGAAAAATTCAACGTAATTTGGTTGTTCACGATATTTATTTCTCTCTTACACATGTTTCGTTTGATTTATACGTTGATTTTTTCTTCTTTTTTTGTGCTTTTATATTACATTAAAGTTGGATTTTACTTTTCTTCTTCTTTTGTCTGTGTTTAGTGTAGATTTTTTTACAATTTTTCTGCTTCAGTTGTTAACTATGTTT